ATAAACTGAATACGATTAAAAATTCGCCGTATTTAACGACACTTAAAATGCGAATAAATTTGCCACCCTGTGACGTCGATTCGAATTTAATGAGCCGCAAAGAATCGGCCGTCCTGTCTGAGCAGGAAAAGAGCAATAAATACACGGGGAAGTAACTCTTCAGCTTTTGAAAACAATTTGGCGTTCACCTCATTGAATCTGCATCAAGATCATGAATTCATAATCAGCACGAAAGAGGGGACTTAAGAATCATTTAACTGGCTATTTAGGGTTATGTTCCGTTAAAAAATGTAGCAAATAAATTTAATTGTTCACAAAGTTTCCTTTTTTTTTTTTTTTTTTTTTTTTTTTTGCATTTGGCTACTTTTGTTTATATTTCAATAGATTACAATAATTAAGTTTTAAGAAAACAAACAGCAAATCAACCAGCATAAAAATATGAAATCAGAGCGTCATTTATTTTCTAATTTATTTTTCGACGCTTTAATTTTAAACTGGTCTATTGGTACATAACGTACGTCTTCACTGTCGCGTATCTCAAATAATTAGACGAAACAAAATTTTCACAGCACCGAAAAATACTTATAAAAGAAAGAAAGAAAGAAAAATAAAATGGTAACACTTTGAGATAAACCTAATTAAAGAAAACTAGTTCTAATGATAAAAACTAACTGTTGTTAATTACATCATTGACGTATGCTACTAAAGTAGTAGAATACATATACTATTAATTCTAAGTAGCTTTTAAAATATTATTAAAAATGGTTACATTATAAAGCTCGCGAGAAAATATTTCTCCAGGGCCTCGGCTTTGAAAACATAGGCCTAAGGCCAGAGGCGTAGCGACCCCAACCGGCGCTCGGGGCGAACTTTCATTTTGGCGCCCCTCTCCAATATATATATATATATATATATATATATATATATATATATATATATATATATATATATATATATATATATATATATATATATATATATATATATATATATTTATGTGTGTGTGTGAGAGAGAGAGAGAGTTCAACAATCCGGAAAAGTCGGAAAAGGTTTAATAATTACGATATATGATTGTCGTTCCCTAAAACTTTACTCGACGCCAATTAAGTTCCCCGTAAGATGCATAGTCCTTTAAAAATGATTATTAATGTCAGAAAAAAATAAACCTCATCTGAGTTTAGAGGTCAGTTTGTAGCAGGTGCTAATTCGTTTAGGACAGTCTTTTCATGTTTTATTTTTGGAACAGTCTCTGTTATGATATAGTACATAGTTGGATTATAAGTTTGTTAGATTAAGGTCATACGAAGTGTTTCCTACGCCTATATTCCTTAGAAAGCCGAAAAGGAAAAAAAAAAAGAAGAAAATCAAAAGAGTTTGGAACAGTGAGTTCCATCGAACCCAAGAGGTTCGGTAAGTCAGTCTCAGGGCTTCCGCGGAGGTCAAGACACACACCCGACTCATATGATCCACGATCGAATTTTGTCAGGGTGGACGATACAACTATTAAGGAGGGTTCGGTGATTGCACATATGAATCTGTTGGGGTTCGGTACCCCCAAAAAGTTAAGAACCACTGCTTTAGAGTGTACTTTGTAGAAGGTGCAGGTCTACTGTTGGTCGTGTTGTTAGAATAATTTCGATAATAGTGTATTACAGTTTAAAATTATGTTAGGTTGAACAAAGTGTGATAAAAAAGCAATAAATACAAGATCTATTCAGTACAATATACTAATTTTCTTCTCTCTTAAAACTTTTTGCAAAGAGTGTCGCCTTCCACCTACCCGCTACGACAGTCGAATATTTTAATGATGGGATAGCAATACAAGAATCCGTGATATTTATTTCTCTTTGATGCAGTGATCCAGGCAAGATGTAATGCAATGAAATAAAAGTACCTGATCTCTCACGTTGAAGTCGAGAGAATCGTAAGAATCGTACAAAATACTAGTCGCGTCATTTCTTAACAAAACTGGCTAGTGACATTGTGCATTAAGCGTTAGTAAAGTTGGTTTCTTTTCTTAGTGTTAAAAGAGTTATCTACTCATCAATCCAGTGTAAATCCTTGCGATTTTAATTGGCGAAAAGCCCCCCCCCCCCCCCCCCCCCCACCATCTTGACAAAGTTGGTAGAGCGGGTTTTAAACGTCACTAACTCTTTTTTTAATGTCACACAATCGTACAATAGGCTTTAGTACAATGGGTTTCTTTTATAAGTGGTAACGTTTATCAACTCACTAATCCAATTTAATTTTTTCTGATTTTAGTCTTCGAAAAAGCGCCCCCTCCCCCCCCCCCTCCCCCAGGAAGCTGGAAAGCGTTTTTTTTCCTGGTAATTGTTTCTTAATGGTATATGTTTTACAGTTACAAAATCAAGGTAGAAAACAGTAAAATCAGTATGCAAAGGCTCTTAGCCGTTAAATTTCTTAACTTTGACTGTTTGTAATTCAAAACTGCAGCTTAATGAGCTTTTAATTTTTTTTCTACCCCTTTTGGCGTCCCTTTAGGGTCGGCGCCCGGGGCGGCCCTCCCCCCCCCCATTAGCTACGCCTCTGCCTATGGCCTCTGTGTAGTTAGGATTGGAGGTAATTTTACGCCTTGGGTATTTTAAGTAAGTTGTTGTATCTGAGATACTTTGTACAAATATTTCGTGTGAGATATTTTGCAAAAGATATTTATCGAGTTCATTTTCGTGAGATATTTTGTTTTTTAGATATTTTAATCTGAGATATTTTTTACAGACATGGTTAGACATAAAACTCTCTCGCTTTGTTGATTTTAGAAGGTAAACACAAATTCTGAGGTTCCTATGACACCAAATGGGGTTGATATGGCCCTGTTTTTTTAAAATTAATACAGTTTGGCTGTGTTGTCACATATTTGCTCCTTGTCAGTGCCCCGCGGGGCTCATATTTGTAAACAAAATTTGTTAACATCAGCTCACCTGTCTGATTCATTGATCGCTTATAAAAAACAACTGAGAGTTGTCGTGACAATTATTTTTTTTTTGCTGTTGATGGCAAACACGCGATTCTTATTCTGTTTGAAAACAAAGTCTTTTTACTTACAACACTTAACCGTATCAAACCTCCATAAATTTAGCTGTATTTTTTTAAAGAGTGAAGTTCATGTGTCCAACCAGAGTAGACAGTCACATGTGTAAGGCTACATGTGTGCTGACCACTACACACCTCAGGCTAAGTTCCTAGTGTAAGGCTACATGTGTGCTGACCACTACACAGCTTGGGCTAAGTTCCTAGTGTAAGGCTACATATGTGCTGACCACACCTCGGGCTAAGTTCCTAGTGTAAGGCTACATATGTGCTGACCACTACACACCTCGGTCTAAGTTCCTAGTGTAAGGCTACATATGTGCTAACCACTACACACCTCAGGCTAAGTTCCTAGTGTAAGGCTACATATGTGCTAACCACTACACACCTCAGGCTAAGTTCCTAGTGTAAGGCTACATGTGTGCTGACCACTACACACCTCGGTCTAAGTTCCTAGTGTAAGGCTACATGTGTGCTGACCACTACACACCTCGGTCTAAGTTCCTAGTGTAAGGCTACATGTGTGCTGACCACTACACACCTCGGGCTAAGTTCCTAGTGTAAGGCTACATGTGTGCTGACCACTACACACCTCGGTCTAAGTTCCTAGTGTAAGGCTACATGTGTGCTGTGTGCTGACCACTACACACCTCAGACTGAGTTCCTAGCGTAAGGCTACATGTGTGCTGACCACTACACACCTCGGGCTAAGTTCCTAGTGTAAGGCTACATGTGTGCTGACCACTACACACCTCAGACTAAGTTCCTAGTGTAAGGCTACATGTGTGCTGACCACTACACACCTCGGTCTAAGTTCCTAGTGTAAGGCTACATGTGTGCTGTGTGCTGACCACTACACACCTCAGACTGAGTTCCTAGCGTAAGGCTACATGTGTGCTGACCACTACACACCTCGGGCTAAGTTCCTAGTGTAAGGCTACATGTGTGCTGACACCTACACACATCAGACTAAGTTCCTAGTGTAAGGCTACATGTGTGCTGACCACTACACACCTCGGTCTAAGTTCCAAGCGTAAGGCTACATGTGTGATGACCGCTATACACCTCGGGCTAAGTTCCTAGCTTAAGGCTGCATGTATCTATATTTATTCAATACACTTTGGTCTAAGTCCGGCATTTTTGGGATTTCAATTTCTAATTTAGCCTCCATAATATTATACATTTCAAAAACCTGCAACACGTCGTTAATATTTTGCCGTGCTCAGTATAATTGCTTGATAGACAGCATCGATTAATTAAAAATTGCACAAAATTTGTATTTTAAAAATCTCCCTAATATCAAGTTTATTGTTTTAATTAATTTTTCCCCGTTCAAGTTGATAATTATATGAAAAAATCTGTTAGTCCAGAGGATTATTGGGCGGTTTAGGACGTTGTGTTTTATATCGCTTTGTTTATCACCATAGTACCAGGTTTGTTTTATCATTTAGCTTTGGATTAATCTCATTTAAAAAGAACAACAATAACTGAGGTGTGGTTTGAGCAGAAGACCACCCAGACACACAACAAGACACCATCAACACGACACACCACCAACCCTATACCTGTTTGGGGGGGGGGGGTGCAAATAGAAAGTTTGTCCCCGGGCGCCGCGAAGGGTCGCTAAGCCTCTGCCCTATTCCCCCAAAACCCAACACCATCAACTCGACATCCAAAATACCCACTTCAGAAAAACCCAAAGCCAGTAACAAGTTATAATTTTTTTTAAACATTAATTTGGTACCGCGCAAACAAAAAGAACTTATCAAAGTCAACTTCTTCTTTTTATTAGTGGAAATATATATTTTCTATTTTTGAATACTTTGAGATACGTACATTAAATCTATTTGTTGGCAACACAATATAATTAACTATTTTCCAAATTGTGATTAAATATCCGATTTAAACATCAAACTGATAAATAAAGAAACAAAGTAGCCTATACAGATGAATTAAGCTTTTATTTACATATTTTAAAAAATGTTTATATATTGAGTAGCTAAGATAAAAATATAACTAGGTAAACTACGGTTATGTTTTAATAGCATTCAGTCCCGATGTTGACTCTTATAGAAAACAGATCTACAAAGCAGCACCTAGGCCTGTGGTATACACGTACAACTAAGCGAAATAAATCTAGGTATATAGAAAATTACACCACGCCCGTATAGCACGAACACTTTACTATCTTGGGCTGTCGGATTATCCCCAAAGAGTAAAACATAAGAAAAAAAAAACAAGACACTGTTCAAGACTTTGAGGGAATTAAATTGTGCGCTAATTTGCCGTCATTCCACCTTAAACACATATATGGCAATAATCTGTTGATTGGCGTTTAATTTATCAAGGGGGTTGCAAATTGCCGAATGTGAATATTGTTTCTTAAGTGGATGCCAAATTGCTTTAAGCCCAGATGGTTAGGTGGACGCAAATTGTCTTCAATTTTGACAAATTGTGTTTTATGTTGATGCGAATTGTATTAATCTTTGACCTATTTGTGTTTTATGTGGATGATAATTGTGTTGATCCTTGGCCAAATTCTGTTAGGTGGGTGCACATTGTGTTGACCTTTGAACTAACGGTGTTAGGTCGATGCAAACTGCCTTGATTTATGCCCGGACTGTTTGTAAGGAAACACGACTGGAGATGGCCGTGGCGATTTTTTCTTCAGTTTCTGCACACCTCGTTTTGATTTAGTCTCAGCCATTCTCTTGACAGTTGAACCATGTCCATTATTTGTGAAGTTTATGTTCGAGTTGTCCCGCTTGCTTGGACTTGGTTCCCCGTCTTTCCCGTGACGAGCGCATGCCGTTGTTGACTCCTGAAGTGTTGTTTTGTTTCCGGGGTCAGTGATTCTATTTATAGCCTGCATAGCCTCGTTTTGAAAACTGAGCCGGTTGTCACGCGCAGCAGTTGATGACCTGGAGCCGAGGTCGTATTGTTGAATGTGTCGACGCTTGAGCGCTCTGCTGTTACAGAAATGGGAGGTTTCTTCCGGCGTGTATATTTGTGTAGCCTCGTTCTGGGTCTGCTGATTGTTTTGAAAGTCAAGGACTTTGTTGAGTAGATCAATATACCGGATGGCCAGTCGGAGTATTTCATTTTTGCTGAGTTTTTTATCCGGGGGGTGCGTGGGCACCAGCTTCCGTAGCTCGCAGAAGGCGCCGTTGACGTTCTGTTGCCGCCAGCGCTCTCTGGTGTTGGTGAACACCCGCCGGACCAGTTTCCGGCTTCCGGTGCCGGTCGTCGGGCCGTTATCACAGCTGTGGCGCCGGTCCAGGCCGTTGTCCGGGATGTAGTCGTAGACGGGCAGGGCGTTGTCCTGCTCGTAGTCGCTCTCTGTGGCCCCGGGGGAGAGGTCAGGCGCGGCCAGGCCGTTGTAAGACAGGGACCTTTGTGACCTCTGAGACCTTTTGAGACAGGAGAGAAAATAAATATTTATAAAACCGACACAGAGATATTAAACATACAGTTTTCATGTACCTTTATAATAGGGGTCATACATAAATAACGTCACGCTTTAAAAAAAAAAACGTTTTTTAGACCCCCCCCCCGCCCCCTTAGTCACACATCTTCACTCAAGTCCGTACCTTCCACCCCTAGATATGTCGCGTTATTTATCAACGACCCCAAATGAAAGAGACGTAATTTGAGTATATTAAACTCTAAACACAAATGTCTATATGTACATCTATAAATCAGGTCTAAGCCACTCTTCGCCATTGAAGTTTAACATGAGTGCCCACAACTAGAGGCGGATTTAGGGAGAAGCTGAGTGTACTACAGCCATGGCACTATGCAAATGATGCTATATCTGCTTATGACGCAGTCAAGAAACAGATGAACTCTACTTCATCTGCTGTATCGGAGGATTTTGTGCTAAGTAAGTGAGTTTATTACATGTTAACCTTACAATTTCTTAATTGGCCAACCACTATATTAGTGGAAGGAGATTTTTTGCTTACTCAGGATAATGCTCTAGCTGAGCTAAAAAAAAAATAACCATATAATAAACTATGGCTTGGGGGGGGGGGGGGGTGTTTAATCTAAGGGAGGATTGGGAGGGTATTCAAGCTAGTTGTGAGCTTGTGATATACCAAGGTTACCAAGGTCACTCGAACAAAGAGACCTGACCAAGGTCACATGAACCAAATCTCTTCTCACCTTGCTTGTAACAGCTGGTATGGGACGTTGGACAAGCGAATGTAGCCCCCGTCGGGATTCGATCCCAGGTCCTCGGAGGTGAAAACATTATCGTCCATGGTTTCATCGTCATCCTCATCATCCCCGCTGTCGATGATGCCACCATCCGGCGGCCTCTCGGCCAGGTCACGTGGGTGTTGGCCCCGCCCACTGCTGTCATCCCGCGAATGGAAACTGACCATGGAACTGTCAGAGTCACTCATTGTGTTTGCTCTTTGTTTAGTGGCGTCACTAGGACCCTGGTGGAGAAATGCTCTTTGTTTAGTGGCGTCACTAGGACCCTGATGAAGAAATGCTCTTTGTTTAGTGGCGTCACTGGGACCCTGATGGAGAAATGCTCTTTGTTTAATGGCGTCACTAGGACCCTGATGGAGAAATATACGCAGTGTTAAAAAAAATTGTCGTATATTAAAAAAAAAGATTGATTAAACATTTAATCAAACAAAACAATCCCACCCTCCATTTCCAAAGCGTTCACGTTTTTATTTTTGCTAGTTACTTCCCATTTAAAAACTCTCTAATATAAAAACAACGAAAAGGGAGCCAACCTACTGCAATGCTCTCAATAGTCGTTAGAAAGGCAGAGAACTTCATTTAGTAATAACATGCACAAAGACGATCCTTGTTTATTAATTAAAATAACATGAGTAAAAAGTTTTATACAACTTTTCAGATTTCGTAGAGAATTTTTGAATGTTCATTCGACCCTAGTGTAAAATATAAACTTTAGTTTTTATTAAATACTTAAATTTTTAATACGTAAAATGTTATTAAATTACCGATTGTCAAACGTCACTGAGTGATATTTCTTTCCGAACCTACTTCCAACCCATACTTTCATGACCCTACTGCAGGGGTCGGCAACCTGAAGCTCGCGAGCCGCATGCGGCTCTTTTGGTGGCGAGATGCGGCTCGTCAGCTCAATGCACAAATATCAATAATTATTTTATTTTCAAAACTGAACAAAAAATTGCACGGCAACACTCGGTAATGAACAATAAAATAAAAAAACAAACAAAAAAACACTCGCTATTCTATTGGAATATTTAGTTACGTCATATTTTAATGTAATTCCTATAAACTTGTCTATCCCAAATTGCAACATTCAACTTCATGGTGGAGATCACATAGAAACTAAACGAGCTAAATGAAAAACTGTAGGGAAAGGAAAACCCATCCTATGTCTTGCTTGAAGAAGATGATTGTTTCGAAAACAAAATTACTTCATTTTGTTGAAGACGCGGAAAGCGGTAAATTACTTCATTTCGAAAAATCTGAAAAAATGCCATGATAAAACAAACGCTACTATTAACATGAATCACTTCATCATTGCTATAAACAAAATGAAGGATGGGTTCACTGAGAGATTTGAGCAATTCAAAAGACACTTAAGTACTCTGACGTTCATAGTCACAGTAGATTATCTCAACACAAAAACACAAAAACAAATGAGATTAACTTTGAGCTATTTGGAATAATGCTGGTTCGCTTCAAATTAAACTGCTAGATTTGAAAACCAAACATTTGTGGAACGGTAAATTCACATAAGCCAACTAACATATAAAAATCTAGAGGCGTGCTTGAAACTAAAAACAAGTTATTAGCCAGGTTAAAACAAACTTTCAAAAGCCATGCAAGGCGAAACTGTTGTAAATAGTTTTCAATAATTAAAGTCATATACTTTGATTACTGATTTTATTATTCTAGCAGATTTTATTTGAATAAATATTATTTAATATTTAAAGCTATATATATATATATATATATATATATATATATATTAATATAATCCTAGTCAAATATAATAAAAATGAAATAAAAATGTTAGTGGCTCTTTAAAAACAGGGATATTTGGTAAATTGTAACTTTTGGCTCTTCTGTCCGAAAAGGTTGCCGACCCCTGCCCTACTGTCACCCACCCACCCCACTACTAGCGTCGAATCTTTTGTTTTGAAAATCTTTTTATCCTCTAAATGTAGCCATGTGTTACTGTCCGGACGTCGCTTGCTTCACGCCTGCCCACCCCTACCCCTTACTCAGCAACCACACAACTTATAAACATTGTTAAGATACAAATCACTGAACCAGAACCCTCACATCCATCCATCCCCATTTCAATGTTTTTTCCGCCATGAACCCTCCTCTCACTAGACTGAATTTTTCACCAGCACATTCCTACTATTTATTACCTCCCTGTAAATACTTTGTATATAAATGTTGTTAAATGATCTATACGGCATATCTTTTTATTATTTATATGTATAAATGTGTAAATCCATCTTCAATATGTTTTTTAATATGTACATTTGTAAAGATCCTTCGTTTCATTAGATTATTGAAATTGAAATATGTTGAGGTTGTTGCACTTGTTTTAAATTGCAAATAAATGTATTCAATATTTATTTATTTAAAAAAAATAATAATACTGAAAAAAAATACTAAAGCGGCAATCACACAACCTAGATCTATATACATTGTGAAGACACAATACACTGAGCCAGAACCCTCACATTACTCCCCCCACCCATTTCAATATTTTTCTTTCAGAATGTTGCGGAAATGAGTTACATGTCTGAGACAAACAAACAAACAAACAAACAAACAAACAAACAAACAAACAAACAAACAAACAAACAAACAAACAAACAAACAAACAAACAAACAAACAAACAAACAAACAAACAAACAAACAAACAAACAAACAAACAAACAAACAAACAAACAAAACAAAACCAAACCGTATTCTTCAACCCTTACTTCAGGTCTAACTTACAAGACTCTATCTTTCCTGCCCTCCCCCCCATCCCCCCCCCCACTTTTCTTACTACAAACCACTCCCATTAACCAATACATTCATGTCTCAGATATGATCAAATTAAACTCAGATGTATGTAAAGATGATTGTGCATTAAACGTCAGAGAGAAATATTATTTTTGTAAAACTATTTCATTCATCGCAAGCCGATGATGAAAGTAGTGATACAAATGCGAACCTGGTGACAAGTCAAACTGACTCTGAATAAAATAGTTATCTGAGGCAAAAGAACAAAAAAAAACAACAAACAAACAACAATTGTGCACTCGAGACCAAAACAACAATTCTGCTTAAAATAAAGATGAAGTGATTCAAAACCATTTTAGGAAAAGCGGAAGTTTCTATCGAAAACCCTGAAAGATTGGTGTTGCTAACTCCACATTTAGAATGCTATTTAAGAGAGCAGCCAATGGCATTGTTTCCCGCTGTGTGCTTCAGCCAACGAATACAAATTATTAAAGTTTATACATTTTTTATTTATATTTTCCTTTTGTAATATTAAAAAAAAATTGATGCATTGTCTTAGACATATACGTACAACAAGTATACTAATTTAAAATGTAAATAGTATATTTGATATGATGTATGCCTATATGTACATTGGTCGAGTAGGAGTATACACTGTTTTGTATGTATCGTTTAACAGGAAACTTTAAACAAGAAGAGATATCTCAGTCCCCTGGGTGTATGTTTAGTTTCAGCTTACCCCATGCCTTATAATAGAGCGGTGGTAAGCTGAGTGAGGGGTGGGCGGTGGAGACTACCAAATACTAATGCACCGGTACTTTGACATACATCTACCCCGACATACGAGATTTTTGAGACATCAGCGATTTTTGTGTTGTTTTTAGCGAAGTTTGAGAAAAGATGATCTGGATTCGTGAGTTTCACAGTTCAAGGGGAAAAAAAAACACCCTGAAAAAGTAACAACTGGTGGTGCATCGCAGCTGTTTAATGACACTTGTCAGCAACTCATTTCCTCAACATTCTGAAAGGGAGGAAGAAAAAAACCCCCTAAAAAGGTTTTGTTTTAAACGGCCTGCACGCGAACATGTGAGAAGCGTGGGAGGGGGGGGGGGAATGCAAAGACTCGTTAAGAGAATAGTAGTCACTAAAATTACAGAAATAAATAAATAATAAATTATTAAGTAACATTTAAGTTACACAAGCATCAGTGAAAATTAGATAAGTCCCATTTATTTTTGGATGTATTTAGTAAGCGAAACAATGTAGAGAGTAGAGTGTAGAGAGTAGAGTGTAGAGAGGAAGTGAACGAAGTACAACTCTTCCGCCTATCACCTCCACCTCGGGGGGGGGGGGGGGGTCAAAGCCCCCCACCCCCCCCCCCCCCCCCCCCCCGAAATTTTTTTACCGCCCCCCCCCCCAAACGAAATGAAATTTATATAATTTATATAGAAAATATATACTTTTAACAGTGTCCGCCCCCCCGAAGAAAGTCTACCGCCCCCCCCCGCCGAAAATTTCAAGTGCCCCCCCCCCCCCCCCCCGAAGAAAAAAATCTGGAAGAAACACTGTTTTAAACGCATTCAAAATACAACTGGGGTGGCATTTTGGGCCGCAACGGATTGAATGCATTTCCTATAATTTCAATGGAAAATAAAACGGCTTTAAGATGCGAACAATTTATACTTACGAGCAATGTTTTGGAACAAATTAAATTCGTATTTCGAGGTATCACTGTGCTATCCATGATTACCGTACTGCTTAAAGATAGATGAAAGGTTCATTCTTAGCCTAGAACTTTACACTTGATTGATTCTACTCATTTGATAAGGTATATTTTTAGCCTAGACCATCACGCTACGCTTGATTGTTTCACCAAATTTGGGATGACCTTTTAACCCCTCTTGAAAATTCCACTCGGGATCGTACCTCGGCAGCCCGCGACAAAGCTCGTGTTTGTTTTCTCCCTCTGTCGTCACGGCCTGCCTGAACAGCTGAGCAGGAAACCCGGGTGTATCCGCGCCAGAAACCACCCGTCGCAGATAAGTATCGGGGAGATTTTTTTAAAAAGGGGGTTAAATCGTGAGATCTTCAGATACGGAGGTGCGAGTTACGTCCCCTCGTGTCAACATTTAGATTCCAGTTGGACACGGTATCAAAACACGACCGGGAAAAAAACAACATTTTACGCTGATAACGCCGTGGTTGTTTTTAGTCGGTTAAATAGTAGTTGGTATAAGAATGGCCTCCCCTTGAGTAGTTTAGGTTTAAGAGTGGTCGCCCCTTAAGTTTAGACCTTTTCAAGGCTTCCGTTTATAACGGGAGGAATATCCGATTTCTAAAAATAAACAAGGGTTGTTTTAGTGGTTGGATAATGGAATACTTATATATGGGAAAAACATTAGTAGCTTACTGTGGGAAGGAAAGTAGTTCATATTATACTAGACCTATATAATAACACGAAGCGTTATTGTTATAATAAGTTTAGGACTTAAGTTGGTTGAACCAGTTTTTTTACACGTTAGATGTGCAAGTTAGATGTACAAGTCAGATATACTAGTTAGATGTACAAGTTAGATGTACAACTCAGGTGTACAAGTTAGATGTACAAGTTAGATGTACAAGTTAGATGTACAAGTCAGATGTACAAGTCAGATGTACAAGTCAGATGTACAAGTTAGATGTACAACTCAGGTGTACAAGTTAGATGTACAAGTTAGATGTACAAGTCAGATGTACAAGTCAGATGTACAAGTCAGATGTACACATTAGATGTACAAATTAAATGTACAAATTAGATGTAGAAGTTGGGTGTACAAGTTAGATATACAAGTCAGAACAAATTAGATGTACAAATTAGATGTACGAAATAGATGTACAAATTAGATGTACAATTTCGGCGTACAAGTTCGGTTTAGAGTTTAGATGTACAAGTGGAATGTACGTATTGGATGTTTGGAGAGCCCACAATCCGACCTAAGAAATGATATTTTTATGTTCTTGCACCATGATAGAGGCTTTCTAAAAAACAAACACGAGATCTACTACAGCAGAGGTTGTTCTACAGTAGCTAAAACACTATGTTGCATAGACAAAACAACATTAGCTGTCGTGTGAAACATAAACAAACCTGCAAACCACTTCCATGACTTATTGCACTTCTTAAATAGTCTAATAGGTGTGCCCATAGAGCTCTTAATAGTTTGGTACCAGAAAATTGAAAAGAAATTGCTTCGCTTAATTTATATGTAAATAAGACAATAATCAACGATAGAATAAAACTAACACGGGAAGCCATTACACATATCAAGATTCCGTGTTTCGTATGCTCCAGGCTCGAAGTGTGTTAAGCGTTCTTTTACGGTTTGTTGGCTCACGATGGATTTAGATCTTTATGTTTAGATTTACATTTAAAAAAAGTTAACGTTACATTCAGTTGCTAGCAGTAGATGTAAAAATTAATCCGTCTTTAACGGTCTTTAACCCTAGCCCTAACCCTTAAGAGTGCACTAAGCCGATGTACGGCAATAAAAGTGTAGTTGTACCAGGGACGGGTGAGTACTTGTAAGATGTGCACGTGACCATGCGAACAAATTGTGTGGAGGTACGTGCGCTTAAGCTCCCAAGCTGAACCACACACACAGAGGTTAGGACATATATTCGTGTGGATTAACCACACATCCGATTTGTTCAGCTGCCCAGTTTGTGCCTGACGTCTGATCGTGTGGATGATCCACAAACTCGTGTGGTTAAGCCACGCACACACACATACACACACACACAAACACACACAAACACACACATACACAGGATGTAGAACCATATACTCGTGTGGTTGAGCTACCTAGTGTTGGTCTCATTGATTGTATGGTTAAGCCACACCCTCATGTGGCTGAGCTATTACATCTTGTGGTTTAGCTCCCCATCTGTGTGGAGCGACCACATCCATATTCTGATTGTTCAAGCACACCTTTAGCGCATGTAAACACACCTTGTCCTAAAATTACATCCACTTTTTATAACTGGAACCTTTCTAACCTAGCCCCGTTCTCCTAAACTAGCCACACCTTACCAAGCGAACAACATGCTTCTTTTTCAATGTTTTTCCCTACTTCTTTATTTATTTATGTTGTAGAATGTAATATTGTATATGCTAATGGGGTGTTAGAATATATGTGTTTTTTTTTATTGCTGTGTGTTGTCAGACATCAACAAACACGCGATAGACAGTCCCGCGTCGGGCACAGCACACAAGCAACAGCATTGTTATCATTAAAGGAGTGTTTCGCACAATTGTCCACGTCAGTTTTGGGAATTAAATTAATACAACTTAATTTTTATTTATACGTACCAAAGCGAACAATCAGCACTAAATGGACTTTAAAAATGCATCCGCTAAAAAGATAAATAGACATCGAAAGACATTGCGAGTAGACATTGCAAGTAAACATCAAAAGTAGACATCGAAAGTAGACATCGAAAGTAGACATCGAAAGTAGACATTGCTAGTAAACATCAAAAGTAGACATCGAAAGTAGACATCGAAAGTAGACATTGCAAGTAAACATCGAAAGTAAGATTTCGCAAAATAGTTTTTACTGGAGATTATGATTTTTAGCCTCTAAATAATTAAAAATTAGTTATTTGTAAACATTTGTCGATAAACTAAGTTTTCAAACATGCCATAAACTTAGTAAATTATGTAATTAACTTTGCATTTATTTAATATTTTACGCTCAAATAATCCACTTTAGATGTAGGATAGACTTTAAAATAAAAAGTTGATCTAGAATAGACGTCAATATCAAAATTAGACCTAGAATAGACATAAAAAGTAGACCTAGAATAGACATCAAAAGTAGACCTAGAACAAACATAAAAAATAGACCTAGAATGGACATCAAAAGTAGACCTACAATAGACATCAAAAGTAGACCTAGAATAGACATCAAAATTAGACTTAGAATAGACATCAAAAGTAGACCTAGAAACACATCAAAAGTAGACCTAGAATAGACATCAAAAGTAGACCTAGAATAGACATCAAAATTAGACCTAGAATAGACATCAAAAGTAGACCTAGAATAGACATCAAAAGTAGACCTAGAATAGACATCAAAAGTAGACCTAGAACAGACATCAAAAGTAGACCTAGAATAGACATCAAAATTAGACCTAGAATAGACATCAAAAGTAGACCTAGAATAGACATCAAAAGTAGACCTAGAATAGACATCAAAAGTAGACCTAGAATAGACATCAGAAGAGGACCTAGAATAGATATCGGAAGCAAACTACGAAAGCACCAGGATGTGAAGCCCCAAGCACTCAAAATATTAACGCGTCATCAGTTACGTCATGCTTATACTTTTTTCCTAGACTTGTATGGTATATATGTTGCTAGTGAGAACTGTCGCTGTTTTTATCGCGGAAAGTAAATATGTACAAGGTGTAATTTTGTCATATTTAGCTACAATAATCTAATATATAAAGCTCAGTTCTGTATGTAATGCATATGTTTGTCGTTGGAATTGTATGAATTTAAGTGTTAGAAAATTATCGTGCGCATTTGTCTAAATTTATGAGCTAAAAACTTACTATTGAAAGTGTTGGGAAATCATTTTCATTTTTCAAATTATAGTAATAATTGTCGGCATGTTCATTTAACACAAGTTTTAAAAAAATATCATCTTTTACAAAAATTCTAATTATGTCTTTATTTAGTCCTATAGCACTTACTTCCCTTTGATAAATTAGGAAAACACAATTACTTCCCTTTATAAAACCATTGCATTTTGTGGAAAAGTATTTACTTTTTAATTACTTTGTTTTGGTGTTGGGAAAAAAAAATAATTACATAATTAGCGGGGATTGATCAAGTGCAAATGTTGTAGGTATTTTACGGATAAGCTTGGAGTATTATAATTGATCATCAAATTGAAACAGGCGCGTTCGTTTAAGTGAGTGCAAAAGACTATGAATAAGTTGGGGTACTATCGTCGTTCATTAAGCTAAAACAGGTGATTCCGCCCCGGGCGTTTATGTTCGCGTTAGTGTTTTCTTTGTGTTTAGGTGGGTTTGCGTTAGTGGTTTCGTTTTGATTTGGTTCGTTTTTGTTCTTTCTGTTTTCGTTTTTGTTTGTGTTTTTTTTGTTTGGGTTTGTATTTGTGTTTTTGGTTGGTTTTGCGTTTGGATTTGGTTTGTTTTCGTTTGCTTTTTCGTTTTTTTTTTTTGGTATTGGTGTTTGTGGTTGGGTTTGTTGTTAGGTTTTTGTTTTCGTTTGCTTTTTTGTTTGTTTTTTCTTTGTGTTTGTATTGGTGTTTGTGGTTGGTTTTGTAGTTAGGTTTTTGTTTTCGTTTGTATTTGTAATTGTGTTAGCGTTATGTTTGCGTTTTGTTGTTTTGGTTGGTTGTGGTTTGGGTGGGCAATGCCAGGTTTATGATGATTACTAAACACACAGGTAATGGTCTTTAACAGAAAGGTTTTTCACAGACGCCAGAGCAGGGCCTGGCCGGGACGGCTAGTGTACTTATAAACAGAAGAAAAGTTAAATGCAATTATGCAAACTTTTTGTCATTCGTCAAGAGGAATGAACTTTTGTGATACCATTTTATAGTTTCAGGTCTATTTAAAAAGGCAAGACACAGTCAAATTATTAATGAAACCAATAGGCTTGCTAGTTTTTAGATTTCTGTTACCATAATGATAAATTAAAACTAAATATTTAAAAAAATCTTTTATCCTGATTAGTTAGACCACGAAACATGTTCATAGTAACAATATGGTATAAGTGTATCACAGACTGTACATTGTTGCGATTTTAAACAAAATATTTAAATATCCTCAAAACGCACAAATTTTATAATATTTGTGTTGATTTACCACTAATTAACAAACAATTTTTAATTTGTCTATCCTACGACTGTGTGAAATCCCAAATTATTACTATACAGATTTTATTCGAGAGTATGTAATATGTATGTGTATATTACTAAAGGATTTAAAAACATGAAAATTGTTGTTTTTATGACGAACAATCTTTGAAATTGTATCCGTAAGTAGACACTAGCAAGCCACCACAATAGATCTAGCAATGACTTAAATTGAAAACATTCTAATTTATGCGTAAGAAAAAAAACCCTGATTACTCTGTTAGAAGAAAAAGCAACAACTAATAATCTGCTCTCAAAATGTGCTAAAAATTCAGATTTTCTTTTTGTAATGAAATACTAAAGAGAGCGTTGTTTTGTATTTTAACAAACATAAATAACCAAAACCTTAAATGACTTTATACAGATGTCAATATCAAGGACATGAATAACATAGTGTATCACACTTGAATTTAAAATGATTATTTTGATACAAAGATGTTTTTTTTAATACATTTTTTTAAGACGAGTTTTGTTATCAGTTTCTACACTTTTAAAGTAATAAAAAATGTAAAAAAAAAACACGTAAATATAAAAAAAAAGTTTAAAAACAAACAAACAAACAAGGCAATAAAATATGTAAATAATATTTATTTTTTACCTTTTCTCGTGTAATTGTAGCCGCACTCCCCCAGAATGCAAGTGGCTAGATAGCAGAAGCCACACAGGATGTGACGATATATCTCTATGATTATGACGCGCTAAGCAAACAACGTACAGCTCTTGCGGTGTTAACCCTCCACTGGCCGATATTTACAACTGTCCGTGTGGGGGCAGGGATGCCGCGTGTTTGTCTTAGCTCTAAGATATCCGTCTGCTCAGACTGGTGACGAATGGATGCGCGTGAGGCTGGAATAACGGTTTTTATAAGGGGCGGTTTAAGGTTTCAAGGCGCACGCGTCCACGTCTGCCAGTGGTTCGTCGCGATCTGAGATATCAAGTATCCGAGCCTTCATCTGCACAAAGAAAATCAAGTCTTATTTTCTTAGCGGCTCAAGTGCAGGCCGCGACTGTCTCAAACGGGAGATGTTCGTATTAAAACACAACTTAGTTGTTAAACTTTCGCTTTTTGGATATTCAAGGGGGTTGGGGGGGGGGTAACATGGAAGGTTGGTGGGATTTAGTACGTAGAGATTATATATTTGTAGGGGGTGGGGTTGCTTGACTTGGATGGTGGTACAAAGACTAGCTCTCTTAAGTTCTGTATCAGACGGCCTGATCTTGATAAGGAATAGACCAACAAATAAGTGCTGTTGAAATTAGGCTAGCGGCTCGCGATACAGAAAGATAAACAAATCTAGATGGCAAGATTTGTTATGCGACCCCCCCCCCCCCCCCCCCACTATCAAACAACGACCACATTCAGAAGGTAGTAATTGCTATTTTTAAAAAAAATTATTATTTTTGTTTCTTAATTTTCCCTCTAAAACTTACGTAAGTAGAAAAAAATATAAAGACAACGCCCAGATTTTTTGTGATGGAGTACCGTGTCGGCCAAAGTATAAAAACTTTGGCCAAATTCGGGACGTGGTGGAGACAGACGCCAAGTGCGTGTCTTGGGCCGGCCGTCAAGCTTTGATTGGCTGTCGGTGATCAGGCGCCGCCAATAGAGCGACACCTTTCACCTCAGTCCACTTGTAGAGGTGAAGAAAGCGTTCGTTCAACTTTGTCCTTTGTCGCAAGCGTCCGTCTAGTGATCCACTTAGTCAAAGAAAGACTGGTCTCCTACAAGTGACTTGTGTGCGATAAATTGTAATAATCTGCACATCGTAATTAAGGAATATTTGCAAAACGATAATTAAAGAGCTTTAACGCGTGCTCTCCAAAAACAAACAAGTGTTTTCAGAGTTCTAGATAAATCTCAGCACGCACACTTCTCTTTTTCTTGTAGTATTTGTTCTTTGAGTTGTTTGAATATTTAGTGAATGATTTGTTCATCGATTTAATCATAATGTGAATGGTTTAAGTATTTAAAATGGATTAAAAATCATGTCTATATCCCGAGTTGCCATCCCTTGTCGTTTCATGTAAGAAAATTCGAGAAGGTTTAGGGGAGATCACTCCCGGTTTATTTTAAGATGTTCAAATATTTAATTTTTTGAAATTCATACGATCATCAATTTACATTTATTAAAAAAACTTATAAATCCAAATATTTATCTAAATCTAAACCTCCTAACTATTGCTATAAAGTGATCGCCTATAATAGAACCATATTGATTTGGACTTGTACGAAATCGTGCAGATATTTTATGTCATGAAGGGAGGAATAGATTTAAAGTTATGTGTACTTTGTAGGGTAGGGGACTAGGTGGTATGTTTTGAGTGCTATGTGAGGTGATTTATCTGTTTGTGTAATATATGGGGTAAGGGTAGTTTTTTTTAAAAACTCCGCGTGCTGTTAAGGGATGTGGGAAGTTTATTTTTGTGAGCTATACTAGGTAGTAGTGGGTCATACCATATAAATAAAGTGGTTATCGTTTATTGTGTTATTTGGGGTTTAGGTTATATAGAAAAGCGTTAAATAATACATTCGAGAAATATACAAAAACTCTACTCCACCCATCTTTTCCTGGATCAGCATATCATTACAATCTACAACACAATCTCTGGAAATGTACTTTTTTTTCTTCAAGTTTAATTTGAATCATGAATGCTGCATAAATTCAATTTGATTTTAAAACAGTGCTATTTTAGGATTCGAAATTACATAAATATTAAATTAAAGGTAGATAATTTTTTTCCCCCGCAAATTGTGATCATGAATTAAAACTATTTTTGTAGAATTACACGTCTCAGTACAATAGGAATCCCCCACTTGCGTTAACTTACTTTACATATGTGAAGTCAGCTGATTGTAAAAGTGACATTAGTATTACACGTCTCAGTACAATAGGAATCCCTTACTTGCGGTAAATTACTTTACATATGTCAAGTCAGATGATTGTAAAAGTGACCTTAGTGTTGCTTTCAAATGCCGAGGTCACTGACACGTGATACGGTCCGAATTCCTAAAGGGTCTTTTTTATTAGCTTTTAATTACGTCCAATATTTGTGAGTTAATTTGAAGTAAAATATCCTATTAATTTAATCTAATATTGCAAAGCTGACACACAACCCAAACTTAATGGATTATATACACATTACCCAAGAAAAACTGTCAAAGTAATTTGTGAGTATAGCAAGAATTCATCATTGTGAAAATTTCAAGTTTACAAAGGCGTTTTTCTTGTTAATGGAACCATAGTACCCTAACATCATCTCTGGCAGATGAACAGCTGATTTAGCCATAAAGATATGAAGGTGAGGGGGAGGGTATGGAGTCGACACATTCGCCTATATAGGAGGGCATAAATAAGAATGACACAAAATTTCTGAAAAAGTTTATAGGCACCGCTGATCAACATTTTATCGAACACATTTATGTGTTTAATGTTCTGCAAATATCTTGCACTTACATTCAGATAAAATTAAATTAGCTATAAAAGACACTAAAAGTATAAACTTTCAAATAAAATAAATATTTTTCCAATAATTAAAACATAATTTTTAATGAGGTTGTTTTTATCAGACCATCATATCTTTTGTTTATTCCATGAATTATTTTTTATTGCGTCCTCACTACATTTAAAATTTAAGACCAAAAGGTTTCAGTTTTCAAAATACGTTTTCAATAACGGCGTCAGGTGCTAGACAACCACAAACACCGGAGATTATCGTCGTTATCTTCATTGTTGTTGTCTACATCCAAAGAATGAAATGCCCAAATTATCGTACCAGCAGTGACGCGTTAAGCCCCAAGTACATGGCGTCGTATAGCCGGCCAACACGAGAAACCTGTCTATTTTTGGTTGCATGTAACTCACACCATGCTGCACTGTTCTCACGGGCTCGTCCTGGGTTGTATCCGCCGCCTTCAATTATATCACTCACACGCATGGTCCCCTTGACCCCTGAGAGGGGTGGGTCAAGTCCAGCGTGAGTATCCTAAGCCTGGATTAATTAACAGCTTGTTTCTAATTATGCCTTTCTCTGTCGGTGCATGCAGGTTTGTTCCTAGGGGATAAGCATCAGATGACGGATATGCTCATTGGTAAAAATAGCACGGGCTCTTCAGCAATGTTTCCAGGGTCGATATCAGCAGTGATCGACTGGTGTTTAGTGTAGTGTCAAAATATGCTTGATTGCCTACTGTCGGTGCCGCCTGGCTACTGACATACATACGTGCGCAGACACTATATATATATACATATATGTTTCTGTGTGTGTGTTTGTGTATCTATAAATATATATCTGCGAATGTATAATACGAAAATATATTTATGCGCAACTATAATACACAATCATTTACATATATATACATATATATATATATATATATATATATATATATATATATATATATATATATATAACTGTATGCCTACTGATAAACATTTGCTTTGTGATAGTTCACTCAATTGTGCGCCTCTGTTGCCTCTATCGCACTCTGACACTCACCATCGATGCACCGTGCAACATTCGTTCGGCCCAAGTGGACCACACTGTCGGCAGGCAGATTAGCTTATCGCGTTATTCTTTGTTCGAGACCTCTGGTCAAAGTTGATGGTTATCCACTCTCTCAGCCTCCATCAGCAAACGTTAAGTAATTTTCGCCAGGTCTTTGATGACTATGTTTGCCAAACTCTTGCAATACCATTCGAGTTGTTGGACAAAGTTTTTTAAACAAAATTTTGGATTTTTATATTTGGTTCAATATACTTTTCAGAATAAAATAGAATAATTCTGAAGAATCTTTGAGTTGATAACGGCATCGACCCAGATGGCTGAAAGATACCGAATCATAAATCTGAACATAAAAAGGTTCATTTTTGTCCATTTCGGGAAGTCGTGTAGAATAGTAAAATTAAAAACCAATATTCATTTATTTATTTTTTTATAGGAAATTTAATATTAATGTAATAACATTTGTAAATGCGGAGAACTATAATTTGTACCCTTGTAAGCCACATTTTATTTACAAATCCTAAATGTTACATTAACACTTCTTGCTTAATGACTTTAGAAAAAAAAACACTTTGATATGCAATACTTTTATCATGACAGACATATGTTTGTGCGATATGCTCTTTACGCTTCGGGGTAACATTTTGTTTCGTGGCATTTGTAAATATTTCGTTTATTGCTTTCAGTGCAGTTTATAAATTTAAAATTAAAATGTGCAAAAAACACACAATCAGGTTTTTAAACTATCATTCATGTCTTTATGAGATTTCATAAGGTTTTCAAACCAGTTTGAATGAGTGTGTCGAAACCGGAAATACATTACTAATTTTAGCAAATCTGATTAATTTAAACTTTGTTAGACAACGTAAAATGAATTTTAACTTTCTAATCTATTCGTTGTAATTTTTCAGCTTCAAGCAGTGGCGTAGCTAGGGTTTTCGGACCCCTAAGTAAAAATTCTCAGTGTGCTTTTTAGTCAGCCTACATGTGAACTAATGTGGTCAGCGAAAAAAATCGACTCCTTCTTACGATGGAGGGTTTTAAGTTATATAAATAATCTCTACATTTTTTATTTTATACGTCCTAATTGTAAGCTATTTTAATTTATAACACTTTTATGTAAAAAACAACTATAAGTCTGTCATAAGGCGGAGGCAGGGGTGTGGTCCGCATTGGGTGGGGGGGGGGGGGAGGATGACACCATTTAGTAGGTGACATCGGGACAAAAAAAAAGAAACATTGACTGTTTAAAAAAAAACGTTTAGCCCATTTTAAATATAATTTTTTTTAGAGGAGTGGGGTGACACTAAACCGAAAATTTTTGGAGGAGGATGGGGTAACACCTCGGTAAACGCACAGGGAGACAACCATTTTCTTTTAAAAATTATCTATACAAAACAAATA